GACGAGAGCAGCTCAGACTCCGATCAGGATTGTTCCTATGCTGGACAGGATCGCTCTGTAGCGGTCCAGAGCCAGGACTGGAAACCCACACGTAGTCTGATAGAACATGTGTTTGTAACGGATGTCACTGCTAATCTAGTTACTGTCACAGTCAAGGAGTCGCCAACCAGTGTGGGTTTCTTCAGCATTCGCAACTACTGACAGGACCCCAGATACTGCAAACCAGATGGGCTTTGAAGCGAGCAGAGGGGTTATGGGTTCGGAAGGAATTAGATAAACTTTTGGCTGGAGAATTCCCGAGGAATGCATCAAGGAATGGAGGTTAATTTGCTTCATCTTCTTTTAGTAAAAGACCAATTTTTAGGTTAAAAAAAAGTTAACAAAAAGGACAGAAAATCACTTCTTGATTGTGCTTATTTATTTGTCTACACATTGTTGAAGAAATGGCAGTGGAGAAGGACAATGCCCACAGAGATGCAAGAGGCAGCATATTGGTCTTACCTGATGATAATATCAAGTAGATAAATCTTTGTGGATCATTGAGTCCAAAATTGCATTGTTGCTGGGGTTCTGGACAAATGTATTCAACTTTTAAGAAACATGAGAAAACTCCCAACGCTCTATGAATGTTGCTGAATCTATGCGAAATATTAACATTCATATATGTTGCTCTGTGTTTCTCTGATGATGAAATAACCTGTTTTGTTATAACATCCAACACAGCAGATTAGAGGAATATCTTAATGAAGAAAGGGTAGGCAGGAGCAGGAGCGTCTTTTATGGGTAGCAGACATTTAGTTCATAGTGTCACTGTGTTGAATCCATATCAGTCAATAGCTAATGTAAGCCAGTTTTTGATTCTTAGTATAGTATTATTTTAATGTTTCATAAATTAGCTACCTCTTTTTTTTTTTTCACTGTTTTGCTATGTTCTGTATATTCATTTCTCTCGGGATAGGAAAACCTTTCCCTCCAGGGTATACCATCATTGTGTCTATATAATTGTTTTTATATAGTTCTACTGCTGTATAAACTTGTTAGTACCAGCGAGCAGCAGACAACAGCTTCATTTTCTCCACCAGAACAACCTCCGAGGTCCACACTGTTGAACTGTACGCACCATTGTCGCCTCGAAAAGAAGTTTCATTCCACAGTGCAGCCAGTTTATCGGCGCAGTTTTCCCAAACGGACAGAAGCATGCGGGGAATAAGATAGAGTATCTCTGTCCCTTCCCAGCGTGATAAGACTCGGCCCTGGGTGAGGTTTGCTCTTCTGCCTTTGCATCAGTTCCGTCCTTCAAGGTATTCACCAGCAACTTGAATCTTCTTAGACTTGTTATTAATATGGAGAATAAGTGCTTGCGTTGACATGGCAGGATGATCATGGACAGTACACCTGCTGGTGCTTTTCCCTCAGCCTGCCAGAGCTTTCCATGAGACGTTCCGATCGCTGACAGCAATTGGTTTCAAACCACTGTGGTAAAGGTTGGGTGTGGACAATAAACTGTTCGGCATTGTTTGTCGCTGACCACAAAGCACCAGACTTCATTCTGTCTGTTGCAACTGGTGTTTCCTTTCCAGTACATGAATACCAGGTTGTTTTTTGTTTTGTTTTGTTTTTTTCCCTTGCAGCTGCAGACATCTCATTTCACCCACCTGCATGGGTTCAGGAGCTGCAGGCCCGGCCTCCCAGAGAAAAAAAAAGTCTTTATCTGATGTAACGGAAAAGAAACCACAACAATGTGCGCTACTTTCTGCTCCCTTGAGAGGAGTTCTGCAACAAAGCACTTCGACTGAACTCTTCTGTCTAATCCTGCTCTGCAGACTGTGCCTTCCTTTCTCTCAAAGACTAAACACAAAGGCATTACCCCAAAGATAGCTAGAATTTCAGTTTGTTCATGAAAGGAGTACCCCTAGAGCATAGCATGGAGACTGGAACATTTTTGGGTTCCTGTTCATATTGTTTTGAAGGGAAAAATCCCTGCTTGAAGACTTAACACAAATGTATGGAACAAATATTTGTTGCCTTATTGCAACAGTAAGAGTGGTTTAGGTTAAAGGTATAAAGGGAGTTTCCAATCAGCAAAAAACTAAAGGAGTGCATGTCATATTACAGGTGTTAACTGGAAAAAATGGTAGTACACAGCATTTGGTTTCTTCTTGTCAACAAAGCTCCAGCATTTATCTTTTTAAAAGTACATCCAGCGTTGGGTAAAAATTAGTCTAGTCGCAAACAGAATGTCATTCATCGCTACCATGTGATAGGCTATGGGGTAATGCAAGGTGTTTATATATGAAAGTGTTTTTTTATTGCATCTACTTTTTTCTGTAATTGATGAAAAGAACGAACTTGGCATAAATGTTTCCAGTTGTGGTCTTCTTTTTTAGATCTACTAACCATCTCAATGTTATGTTCTCTTTACAATATATTTATTTCAGATCAAGAGCCTTTCAGGGTAGGACAGTGTCATCAATCATTGTATTGTGCCACCTGTCACATTAACAAATAAATGGTACAACCTTTTGTTTGACTTGTTTTTTTAACGTAATTTATCAAGCAAAAATGCCATTTGCTGGTTCCAGCTTCTTAAATGTGAGGAAGCCCATCCTGTTTACTGAATATGTGGGTTTTGTCTGACAAAATGAGCAATTTGAAAACACCACAGTGGATTTAAAATTATTTTACATTTTACAGACTAACCAACCAGTTAAATAAATAAACAGATTGACAATGAAAGTAACTGTTAGTAGCCCTACCTTCAGCAGGTACGAAGCTGATGATGTTTGCTTTTCAAAAAGGTGTCACGGACTTGTAAGGGAGTGGTTTATAATGCTGATCAGAAATTCATCAACATTTACAAGATGTCAATACTGGATTTGATCTTTCATTCTCTCTGAAGCAGTGCAGCTGTAGTCTTCATTAGAAACACTGCTAAATAACAAGATGGTAGAAACCCAGTTAACATGACTTTCTATCTCTTATCTGTGCTGCAAAACTATCCACTTTGACTCATGGTCACATGTGCTGCAACAGCCACAAGATGGCACTGTTGCACTCTAAGGTTGAGACACCCAGGAGTGCTTCAGTTTCTTAATTAACCATAATTATATAATCTGTTAGTTTACACATGAGATTGCAATCCATAAACTCAATGTATTTTATATACGGACAACAGAAACTACATTTTCTGACTTTCTCACATTTAAAGCCCCCAATACAGTAATACAATCTCTAATAATAATAACAATAATAATAATTTTTCACTCAACAAAGGCTCCAATTTTGAGTTATCTACAACCACAGTTTCTAATTTCAAGTGCTTGCCAAGAGAAATGTAGATGTCCTCCATTTCCACTGCATCCCCCTCTGATGATCTTAATAACATTTGAATCCTGTACATGCATCTGGCATGCCAAAACTTTCACTCTAAGTTCAGTGATTCAATTTCAGCATCTCATTCCATTTGATTTGCTTTGGGTCTATGTGAGAACTGAGTGATTGTACGGTTTGGCTGTGCAATACCTTGTGTATCCTGCCCACAAACTTGGGAGTATTTCACTGTTCTCAGAGGCAACCACAGAATAAGTCAGTTCAGTGATTTGGCACTTAATTGTTCAAATCAAATAATCTCTCAGTAAACACACTGACAGGACAGAGGACAATACAGCCAACTTTTATTGGATCAAGCTTCAGCAATCGGAGAATCCGCAGTTTTTCTGTACCTCATATCTCAGTGAATAAGACGCATGCCTTTGGTGTGAGAGACCCGGGTTCAACTCCCCACTGTCACCCATCCACCATTGTGTCCCTGAGCATGGCACTTAACCCTTAGTTGCTTCAGAGTTGCTAGTTGCTATCCTCTGACATAAATAGCAATAGTCAGTCGCTCTGGATAAAAGCATCAGCTAAATGAATAAATGTAAGTGAATCGCTTTGGCTTTTTTAAACTGCTCTGGGAATTTCGAAAAGGCATTTCATATACTAAACAATTGATGGATTAATGCATCATATTGTATAATATGATAATGCAAAATAAGAAGTAACTATAACTGTCAAATAAAGGTACACATTTTCCCAGTGAAATGAAGTGTAGTAGAAGTTTAAAGTACCATAAAATGTAAATACTCAACTAAAGTGCAAATATACCAGAACTGTACTGTAAGTACAGTACTTAAATACATAAATACAAGTAGCAATACAGTCCACTGCTGGTGAGGAAAGTTGTGTAAGAAGCTCATTTTGAAGCATTGTTATTGTTCTGCTGAAGAGACTAAATGAACAAGAAAGCCTGCAGTACCTTTCAACACACACACACCCCTCTCCCTCTTTCACCACCCCTGTATTTACACACTCTTAAAAACACTGTCACAAAGCCTGACTAACTGACAGAAGTTATCATTACACAAAGCGCTCGATTCCATAATTTATAGAGATCCCCGTCCCAGTCATGTGGAATTCTCCCAAAATAAATTCAAGTAAACACTTACGCGACAAAGAGGCACTCACAGTGGCCTGGTATGCATAAACAGTATGAACAGTGTGACAGTGTAATCCCAACCCCACCCCCCCAGCCCAACACACACATATATACCCAACAGCCCAGCCCAGCGCTGACTTCAGGCCGGGCCTGGAAATAAGCCTAAACCCCTTCTTCACCCCCAGTGCCGATGCACCAACCCCAACACCGACACCCACCCCAACCCCACACCTGACTCCTGGCAAAATAAGCCAGACTCCAATTCATCTTCCATCGCAATAACACACACCCCAAACCATGTTGTTTTGAAGAGCATTCAGCAAGTTCATCTCCAGGGATGTTTTTGTTTTTTTCCCCAGGACATCTTATTGTTTTAGCAACACAAGATGCCGTAAATCAATCAGCGCTTTGCTTAACTCTGGCCTTTGTTTAAAAGCCACAAATAAGCTTTTTCCATGATGCATTGTTTAAAGTAAGCAAATGATACAAAGGATGCAACCAAAGACACGATTAGGGTAGTATAGGAGCTTATTTTACTGACCTTTTCATTTGCAGAAAAGATGTTACTTACATTTCAAGGCAGACAATCATTTTTATAAATAAATTAATTGTAGAAAAGAAAGAAAAATATTGTCAAAAAAGGTTCTCTATTCTCAGAAGTACACATTAGTGCTTCTTGTAACTCTTGCATTTGGCCTTTTTATTGCTTTGTGATGGCTCCATACCAAACTAGAGCAATAATTTACCCACTTTTTTAGTTTGGCACGGTCCAGGCTGGATTGACTGATATGGGTGTTTAAAGGCCGATACTGATACTGATATTTAATTTCCTCTGTTTGTATTTGTGTTTGGACTCCTCTCCACCTTGCAACCAAGTGGGACTGGTTGGGTTTAAAACGCCTGGGATGGTTGCTATTCGATTTCAAAGGGAATGTTTAGAAACCTGATCTGACCCTCCAGCGAGCATACCTTCTACACCCACTCTCCCTCGCCCCTCATTCTAAATCACTCCACTGGAGCAGTGTAAACAAACTTCAGTTTGCTCTCTGATATTGAGAGGTTAAGACAAGCGGCAATCCTCCACTATGACAACACAGCCTCAGACAGACGATGTCATCTGTCTTACCTCACTCTCCATCCATCACTACGCCGGAGTCGACATGTCTGACAGTCCAACTCTCGCTTTTCTCGCTGGCACAGGCCTCCACATCTGTCACATTTTCCTCCAAGCTTACTTTTATTACACCACATGAACTCCGCCTCCTTCCCTCTGAATTCATGGACACCTGACGGGCAAGCAGGCAGAGAGAAAACCTATTGATTAGTCATGGTATCTTATGTCATCCTGGCTCTACAAACACTTTTTCACTTGCCACTCCGCTACCTGTAATACGTGAGAGAGCAATGTCCGAGCCATATTGTGTAAAAAATTGCTAATTTGAAGCTTCTACAGAAAGAGGTTTCTGGAATATAAATATAAAGTAACTGAATGAACGAATCATAACTAAAATCAGATTTTGTTAATTTAAAAAAAAAAAGTGTACGTCCTAGCCTCATGAGGAGCGTCAGCAGGGGACCCCTAGAGGATTTAAAGAAATAGTAAATGTTTTAACTTACAAGCACACCCAAGATATTTTTATTCCATTCTCTAACTTTAAAACTAACTCTATTGAAGTTCACAAGCAACAAATATGGTGATTTTAAAATAAAAGTAATATTTTCACATTTTTCCCTCATTCATTGTCAGCAAAAAGTGGGATGCTACAGCAAATTTTTACTATTTAGGGAAATCAGACAAGACCGTAAGCCCTTCTCAGTATTGGCCTGAAAGAAAAATAGATGGGTGGAAATTTTACAATACAATGTTCTTGAAAGTCCTAATATGTCGTTCAAACTTCAAGTAAAAAATGATGAATTATAAAAATATTTCTGCCTCATAAAACTAGGTAGAAATGGCACTGATTGTATAGTTGACCGAATATGTTTTTTCCCATGGAGTCAATAGGTAGTAACACAGTCCTGGTAGAGCGGTAAGATGTTCTTAGACATCAAGAACTATACTGTCTATCTCACACAGTTTAAAAAGTAGCAACCAGGCCTAGTGTTTTGTAAATGGCAAAATGCAGTTGCATAACATTAGCACAGCAGTGTCTCTGGATGACATCACAGAGGGGGAAGTGTTTCAACATTAAAACAATTAAAAAGGACCTAAAACTGAGCCTTGACGCACACCAAATGATATGTAATACTTATTAGACAGGCTAAACTCCAAACCACAAAATCTCTGCTACCCAAGTAGGTAGGTTGTTTTAAATTTAACCCATCTAGAAGATTTGTGGGATTTAATGTATCAGTGATTATCAAGCACTACCACTTGTTTCTTGGCACCTAAATTCATTCAATTTTCTAAAGGGACAATGACACAAAGTTAAAGCTTAAGAAAGAATCATGGAAGAGCTGTGGTTACACGTTAGTAAGGCCAAGAAAGCAAAATTGTGCCACGAATGAACCTTCACATACTCACTGATTCAATGTTACTATAAAAATACTGATTAATGCAAATCTCAGTGATCTTGTGATCTTAAGTATATGAGCCAATGTTTACCTCCATTTTATGACCCACATTAGTAGTTTGTCATTAGGGATGACAGTGTTACAGACTGATATACTGACAAATATGAGGATGGACTGCCATGATGATTTATTTAAAAAACGATAACATTTCCATTAGCCTCACTTTGTTAGTGCTACTTAGCAAATGTTAGTATGTTAACACACTAAACTAAGATGATGAACATGTTAAACATTATAGCTGCTAAACACCACCAAGTTAGCATTAGCATTTTACCTAAAGCGCTACTGTGCAGCCGTGAACAGTCACTGGCCTAGGTGTAGATTCCTGTTCACTAACTGATTTACATACATTATGCTGTAAATCATTTAGACATGGCTCAGATATCTCCATGTCTGTAACAACAACACTGATGATTAAATAATAATACAATGTGGTAAAGCACTGTTAAGAGATAGCAGAGAGAACAGGAGAAAGTCAAATAAAAAGCAAGAAAGAAGGTAGTACGACAAAGAGTCTTAGGAGTTATTGTACAAAAGCAGTTTTTGACGTGAAACCCGTTTCTCTTCCAGCAAGGCGTTTCTTTTGACACCCACAGGGCAGGAATAAGGAGGAATCTCCCTCTGCTGTGAAACTGAGGTAACAAAGTCAAACTGTATCTACCAGACAGAAGGTGCCAGCGGGAAGTTTGCCCTTCTGATCTTTGTATAATCTGCTCTGGGGAGGACACAGCTACTCTCCTTACTGCCTTCAAAGGCTTCTCTCCTTAACTTTCAGCCTCACATCCTAATCTGATTGAGAAGGAGAGAAAATATTGACTATTTGACAGGACAAAGCAGTGTAAATATTTGAAACCATTGCTATGAAGCACTAGTGGAAATGGAGCTCAAATATTGACAATTTAACCAAATGAATTTAGAAGCAACAACCTAAAACGCAGCTTTTAGAAAGCATTTCAACAGATAAGTTACAGGCTAATTCAATCACAGTTATAGGAGTTTAATGTCAAGTTGTTCTGCTAGAACATCTGCAAGCCAAGTTAGAAAAGTCTATCCATACAGATCTTTCCAAGCTTGACATTCACAAATACTGCATTCATTCATTCAAACCTCTGGTCAACCCACATGAAACTCCATAAAGCCAGTGGCACCAGGAGAGGCGCACTGATAAATCAGCTGCAGGCCACGAACAAGGCCCGGTGCCGGCGGACCTGTGTGCAACAGGACAAGTCTATCGGTGAATTTCACAGGTCATTACTCTGGCTCCAGCCATCGCAGCCTCCAGTGGCTCTGGAGACGGCCAGCTTTTTCTCAGAGACAACAGCTTACTGGGCTTTGTGCTAGCTAAACAAGCGTGTCTGTCTCACAGCAGTAGATTAATGTCTAGATAGAGGGTTCGCTCCTCAGGGAGACCTGTAGAGGAGCCATCCTTCAACCTTTGGAGGCCATTACACAATAACAAAATAACAAAATCTAAAAGAGGGGCTCATTGACTGAACCCTCCTCAGGGGCTACAGAGAAGAGGTAGACAGAGAAAGAGGTTTCTGAATTAAGTCTCACCAAAGAGGGGAGGGATGAATTTCCTAAAAACCAAGGGGAGTACATAAAAAACAGTTCTTTATGCTGTGCAAGATCAAACAGCTGATAGCTGATGGATGTAAATGACCAGAAAGAATAAAGTGAAAGTATGAAAAGAGAACCATCATTTAGGGCTGCAGCTAATAATTATTTTCCTGACTGATGAATCTTTCACATTTTTTTCTCAATTAATCAATTTACCATTTTGTGCCCATTACAATTTCCCAAGGACAAAATTCCTGTTTTTATTTGACAAAACAAAGAAACAAAGATGTTGAATTAAATTTTATTTATAGAGCGCCAAATCATTACATAAATTATCTCAGAGCTTTTCATATAGAGCAGGTCTTTATTGTTTATAGAGACGCAACAATTCCCACGCTGAGCGAGCACTTGCCGTCAGTGGCAAGGAAAAACAATTCAGTTTACTATTTTGTCTAATGATGACGAAGAAAAGCAGCAAATCGTGAGGTTGGAGAAGCTGAAACTAGATAGTGTTTGCCTTTTTTGCTTGAAGAAATTATCTAAAGGTTCAATTGATTATCAAAATATTTGCCAATTAATTTCAGCCAGTTGACCAATCAATTAATTATTGCAGCTCTTCAGCAGTGGCTTCACATTGCTGTGAGCCATTATGCAGCACAAAGACCATTTTCAATGAGTGTCATCTGTGAGAAGTTGTGTGTGGTAAACACACAAACCCTCAGCCCTTCACATGAATGACAGTAAACAACACAGGATCTTTGGCTCCCAACTCACACACACACCCCTGAGGAGAAAGGGGTCACACAAACACAGCATCTGACTGGCTCTTAATTTGTTTAAAGCAGCCCATTCAAACAAGATCATCAACAGAGAGAAAATCTCGTTTCCAAGGCTGTCGCCATGGCGCAAGCCGTGTTGTTTAGGAAGGAGATCAGGACGCCGGTGACGACTCAGCTGACTTCCAGCACACACAGCTTCACAGAGGCGCCAGGTTGTAATTAACACTTTGCAGATTACGTTTACAGGACCAACATGGTCTGCCTGAGTTTTATTACCGCCTGGGTTGTACTTCTGCCCTCCAGGGACACAAAACACTCTCTGTTTGACATTGGCCTATCCTGTGTGAGAACGTTTGACAGGTTTTTATCGTGGCTGTTCACTGTTCTTCAGAGATAATGAGAATCTCCCCGTGCTTCTGCCAGTTTTCCAGCTATGACTGGATGAAGACACATGCCGCAGTCTGACAATATTAATCTATTTCTGTCCCGCTATCTGCAGCTTTCATTCATTTATTTGAGCTCACGCTGTTGTTCTAACAGTCTTATTAGAGGAGCAGTGAAACTAATCCATTTCTTGGCAGCAGGTGGCACACAGCTGGGCAGTGAGGAGTCGCAACAAAGTGGCTGTTATAATTGCAGTGTAATCATTTTCATGCAGTTCCTCGGCTTCTTCTCAGACGGCAAGCGGTGCTTCAGGTTAACATTCTATGGTAATAAAAGCAGCCATTAATGTGACAATGACCTCAGAATATGAGGGCCAAGTCATTCAGCTTTCAGCAAACATGCCATTTAATGCAGATTTCTCACAGCCACTAAAAAGGAATTGTCTTCAAACACACACACACAGACATGCGTAGTGTTAATGCATGGAAAATTTAAATGTGAGGTGTTAAAAGAAATCCTCTAAGGTCCCAAGAGCTGTTGACCAAATATTTCGAAATGTTGTGTGCTAATATTAACCCTAGTTAACATGCTGTGCATTTGTGTCACAGCGGTGTGGCAGTTTGTATGTGGTGTCCATCATCGCTGAGACAGGCAGAGGAGGAACTAAATGACTTACACATTCAGTGCAGCTATGGAAAACATCTGCACACATCTGCACCACTAGATGGCAGATATCCCCCCCTGAAATACTCTCCAATGCAGTTTCATATTGTTCAGAACACAGCGGCTGTCATTAATATTCCTTCAATGACAACTGAAAACTGATGGCACCCACTCGTGTCAGAAAAGAAATTCACAGGATGAAAAACAAGACATGCTTCATAAACTGAATCGACATGCAGTACATTACCACTGAAGCCTGTCAACAACTGAAGCCTGTCAACAACTAACTGTGGTAAATACTACTGAGAGAGTTCATTATAGATCAG